CCGCTTTATATATCCCAGTCAAAAGGTAGTACAAGCATATACCTTGGTTGGACACTGTAAAGTGTGTTGCATTCGCTGCAGACACAATTTAGTGCGGAAGCTGGGATCCGACCTACGTGGGGTAATAAAATACAGCTCAAATTAGAAAGAAGAAGCCTGAATGCACATCTACACACATAGTCCACAGTTTGACCGTCGATTTCAACAGTATCCGGCGTGTGATCAATAACAGTAAGGTAAACAGGGACGACGAATTGCGCGAGTTAATTTCATCTGATTGTAGACTTGCACTGCATCTAACGCACTCTCTCCCCCTCTTCTCTAATGCGTCCGGGCCCGGCGTCGAGACAGAGTCAAAATGACTGTTAACGGGATCGGGCGCAGGTGGCTGGCGCGCCCCCTCCCCCATGTTCGGCATTCGTTATCGGTGGGCAGCCCAAATAATGCTTGGTGCACCCTGATTCCCCCCTTCCCCCCGTTTTGGTCCAAGGTATCTACCACGCGGTCGATTTTTTGGGGGTAGAGGGCGCACACACACAGAGCAACTTTTAAATGTTCCAGTTTTGTCCGGTAAATAAAACTGTTGTGCTTTGTCCTCTTTCCCCGTTAGCCCCTGGAATACTTTGTGAAAAATCACCACGCGACGGAACGGCTGATTGACCTCTACCGCGGGAGCAGGGAGCTCTATGGTATGCGCAAGGTCGTAGCCGGTGGGTCAAAGTATTTACGGCGATCAGCGAGTAACTCGAGCATGAGACTGAAGTAAGTGGTCCTTGACTTTACAAAAAATCCCGTACCTTGTCTCTCTCTCTCTCTCTCGCTGTGTTTTCACGCATATACACCTCACATAATACGTACTTTTCAACCCAAACGGGAGATTGTGTAGCTGTAGGTGATTTCACCTCCTGACCCTTGGCAGGGTGATTTTATTGTGTTTGCAAATATACACAGCTATACTTCCCTGGATGAGTATCGTAGAGTGTTTTACATTCACTGCAACCCTATTCATAAATGTCGATAGGTTGGGTTCTACTGCATGCTATTACGCCAGATCAGTACTATCAACTATATAGTTACGTGCATTTATAAGTATATACCTTGATTTGGCACTGTAAAGTGTTTGCATGCACTGCAACACATCTCGTGGCTATCGATAGATAGGGTTCTACTGCACACTGCTACGCCAAATCAGCACTATTATTATACACTTACAATTGCAGTGTTATTATGCCACACAGTGACTTCCTTCCCAATCAGAAGGAAGGCTGTGTGGCCACATGAGACAGGTGATCTTGCCCCCTAACCCTTAGGTGGATGTTTAGGTGTGTCTGCATGTGTTCACAACTACACTCCCTGATTGGCCACCGTAAAGTGTGTTGCATTCACTGCAACAAATATCATATTTGTCGGAAGGTAGGGCTCTACTGCATACTTTTGCGCTTAATCTTTTGCACTGAGGCCAGCTACTTTGTTGTGGTCCGACTGGCGGAGTTTGCCAGGCTAAATCACCTTTTCAGGCATTATCGCACAAAAGCACATTAAATCTTCCTTTTGTTTACGTAAACAACTTTTAAGCTGAACTCTAACTTTTGAAAGTGTTGATGGGTTTAAATTGATTTTACCTGGTCCTAATGAGGTCCCGTTGAAGGTAAGCCGTGCGAAGCTAATCTCGTAGTGTGGGATAATGTAAGGGGGTAATTTTTGCCATTTCTGCTAGAATTCTGCCGTTTTGTGTTTTCTTACATTGGGGCCTGTAGCAAAATGGCGTCAACTCTCGCCAATCCAAAAGCCATGCCGGGGAATTTAGAGCCAGCTTTGTTGTAGGCATTTTAAACGAGGACACACCCATTTGATATATGGTCTCGTGATACGTTAAACGAAAGTCGCGTAGGCGTTTTCGGTTCGGTTTGTAGCCTTCTACAGCAGTCACGTCAAGATGCCTGCTTTTAAATGAGTCTCCTTCAGGCTGCATTTGAAATTTGCACTCTATGACAAATGACTGAGCTGAGGCCCTACTTGGGGCAGGGTAGGACTGGCTGATGACGGCTAGTGAACCAGAAAACGCGATTGCAGTCTCGCGCTTGTCTTTGCCGACAAGGCCATTTGCCTAGACTACTAGCAGGGCTTCTAACGTGGCTCCAGAATGAACCCTAAGACAGAGTGGGATCAATTAACGTCAATCAAGGAGTGTACGTAGAAGGCTGTTGTTTCACGATGTCCTTTTAAATTCATAGATAACATGCGCAAAATTATTCTCGTGTAATTCTCAAATGCTAAAGTAAAAGAAAGGTTAATTTTCGGCTTGGTAAAAAAAACTTTTCCGTTTCCTGAGCCATTTTTAATCTAGTTGACCCAATTATGAAAAAAACTCGCGGCACTCGGTGGGATTTGAACCCGCATACTAGGGAAGGCCTTTAAGCAAAGCCAATGCTCTACTAGTTGAGCTACAAATGCCACGCTTAGTGCCGTGTGTTTAATCACACTCGAATCGATTTTATCTTGCATCTGACCTGCAGTTGCACTTGCGTTTGGCACTTTCAAACGCATAACGTTCTTAAGAGGACAGCATAAGCTGTCGTTGATGAATTCTCAAAGATCGCAAACAGGACTCACTCTTCCTGCCCTCCTAGGTGAGTGCTAATATCTCCATACCTAAATCGACAAGACAACGAGCTCGAGGCTCAATGGTTAGAGTGTAAGACTTTTGATAAAAAGGTCGTCGGTTCGAGCCTTGGGTGTAGCACCGCTTGCGGTTGGGTATGTCTGGCTGATGACGGCTAATAAGCCAGAAACGACCATTCCAGTCTCCCTTGCCGGTAATTTCCTTCCGTCAGGCAGGTGGCTGACGTTGAAAGAACCATTGGTTGTAGGCAGGCCGGTATTGGCAGCAGAGCCGATAGGTTACTTCGGCTGGGTTCGAAGCCCAGAAGTCTAGAAGTCAGAAGTCAGAGAGGAAGCAGTCTATTAGAGGGCTCGCCAGGGAAGCCTACTGTACGACTCTGAATTCCTGCAACATGCCGAAATATGCGAAATATTGATACTCTTTCGCTAGTCGACATTGACTCAGGTTGTGACACTGATTATCGTGTAGTCTATTCTGAAGTAAGTTCAGTCATGATAGGATGCGAGCTTTTTAACGAGCCTCTTTCTGACTGCTAACAAAACTTACGTACTGTAAAAAGTGACTACTTAGGTAGTATGCATTTTTATAATTGATTTTGGCTGCCTTTACTAATTCAAATATATAAACGAAAACATTATTTCTTGTACTCATCTGGTAGAAAATTACGCCTTCTTTAAGCTTTATACTTAAAGAAAGAGTATCTTTCGGTTTTAAAATAGTTTCTAAATTGCTGAATAATTTTATAACCTACTGACTGCTACATTTGAATTCAAGGTTTAAAAACTGCACTCTGTGTACATCCTGTTTAAGAAAAAGTACTTATTCGCCTACTGTTTGAGAAAGAATTTACATATTTCTCATTAAAATTTGTAATAGACGTGGATCCTGCTGTAAACATTATAGGCCGCATTTATAAATTTTACGGATACAAGGTATTATGAATGAACACCTCTTGATAATAAAAAAATTCTCATACTTTTACAATTTTCTAAAACCGAAAGATATCCTTCCTTTAGGTATAAAATTTGAAGAAGGCATAATTTGCTACCAAACAAGCACATTAAATATTTTGTCGAGCACGTTTTCTTTAAACTGTATATGAATTTATAAAGACAGTGAAAATCAACGATAGAAATGTATGCTATTTAAGTAGCCATTTTTTAACATAAGTACACTTTTTAGCGTTCAGGACAAAGCTCGTTAAAGAGTTGGCATCCTATCGAGACTGAAACGACTTGAGAAAAGGCTACACGATAATCAATATTACGACTGCCTAATTGACGATAAGCGAGTGAATATCAATCTTTCACAGATGTCAGTATGTTGCCGGAATTCTGAGCCGTACTTTAATCCCCAGAACTCTGTAATACTTGACCTGTGGTTATGTTTATTTACTGTTTTATTTATTTTTATGATATTTTTCATTCCTTTTAAATTTATCACCCGTTTTATCATTACTATATACATTAGCTTTTTATTGCAATTAATCTACTCTTCTCTGCCTTTGTTTTCATATATGTCTTTCATTTTCCCTTCTGTGCCCCCGTGCTGCCCCGTTCGTATAACCCTCATTTCCACTGGTCCCATATTCCGAGTTGAGCCCTAAAATAGACTGTTACCGTCATAGGAGTATGTGTCACCCACTACCATAAACAATGGGTGAAGAAGCTCCTGGTATTATTCTCACGCTATATTGTGTTTATAGCCCTGATGCGGACGGGGGGAAACAGAGCTAATGGGAATTTGCTTCCCTCCGCCCATCCCCTCCCCCCCTCACCCCCGTCAGGCATCACCCTAGTAAACATGCTGGTGAACCTCAACTGCGAATCGCTGATCCATCTTTTACGCCCCCCTTTTTCCCCTCTTCCCAGACCGCATAAATTGACAACAGAAGAACTGGCCCAAGTCGAGCGACTCTTGACTGAGCTGGAGTTGGAGTTGCCGCATAAGGCCACCGGCTTCGAGTATGCGCCCTGGCAAGTCAAGGACCACCAACGACAGGCCAAGGCACTCGAGGCCAAACTGAATTTGAGCCAGCCCTCGACGGAGGAGACGCGGAGGATGCTCCGGCGAGTGGCTGATATCATCGTGTTTCTCGGCCAGGTGAGTCTGCCCGCCTACTCGTCCACCCGTGTCCACTAGCACATGAGACTTCAGTGTCTGCATTTTGCAGATTAGTGCTGCATCTGATGAAAAGACGGAGTCCAGATAGCCGCGGGGGGCAGTCATGATCACAGTGCCTGTCCTTACTCAATAGTTCGTCTACGAGGACCACGCACACTTCTGTGTGTGTCAGGCTGCATTAAATGAGGGATTTTGTATATATATTGTGAGATTGGGTATGACTGGCTGATGACGGCTAACAAGCCAGAAATGGCCACTCCGCCGTCCCTTGTCTTTTTCGGATCCACTCTATCTGAACTCACTAAGCGACAGCCTGATATCACTCAAGTACGAGCCTCAAGGCACTTCCGGGACAAGTGTATGCCCTAACCAGATAGATCGGATGAACACTCCAGTTCCTGCATATTCATGATCGCAACCGACAAAGCAAGGAGCCCGTGGTGCCGAGGTAGAGTATTAAACTCAATGACCGAAGGTCCCGGATTCGAATCTCGAGGGTTCCAACCCTTGAGATTGGGTATGACTGGCTGATGACGGTTAGTAAACCAGAAATGGCCTTTCCGGTCTCCCTTTGCTTCGTCGAATCCATTTCATCATATATATATATATATATATTAACTCGGAGATGGGCACAGACCGACCCAATTGACTTACCGGAGTGAACAAACTTCGTATGGGTCGTAAGGGTCACAAACAGGCGATCACTTGCCAGGCCGGCGTCAGCCAAGCTATAATAGCAGAGAGGGATGACAGCGCTTGGAGGTAACTTGGCACAGAACTGTTTCGGGCCTATTTTCCTTCATTCATCCAAGCATAACCCTGACCGCCAGCTGGGACCGGAAACACAAACGAATGGCCATGCCAAGGGTACGATCCAAAAACCGCACCAATCAACAGGAAAATAAAGTTGAGCAGAATACCTGTGCGCACCTCCAGGAAATCTAGGGGGCCCTGGTCAGCCAGCGAAGCTAGAAATTCGGAAAAACAAATCGCGGGTTTCCCCGGCATTCACTCCAGGGGTATTTCGTATGACCGCTGCTGGTGCGTTTTTAGAGGAGATGAACACCACTTCGTAGGGCTTCTCCGCCGCTGGAAAGCTTTTAGATGCAGCTTTAATGCAAATAAGTATTTGATGCCTTATTTTTGTTATTGAATTCTAATTTTCACAATAAAGAGGACATATTTAGAATCTGATTCTGGGTATTGACCGGCACTTAGGTAAGAGTCACACCCCAGAGTAAACCACAAATGGTAGGAATTGCCCTAGTGATTTGTCATGAAGCCTGACCCTTATTACGTATTGTTTAAGTGATTACAGCCGCACACAATAAATTATTTT